TGTGCTCAGCGTGTGACTGTGCTCAGCGTGTGACCGCGTGCTCAGCCTCTGACAGCCTTCCTTTCTGATGGAGAATCCTCAAGTGTTCAAATGTGGAGCCAGTTGGAGAGTTAATACCAGAATGTAGAGTCCTTTTCATTTTAGTACGAAACTATCTGTATCATCTCGCCCTTAACAATTCAGTTCATGAACAACCACTGAAAAGCCCCAGTGTCCCCCAAATTATGCTGAGTGCCCAGAATACGATGATGTAAGTTCATCCTGCTCACAGATTGCAACAATGTTGAAGAGGCTGATCCAATGTTACAGTGATGCAGTGAGGCTGATCCAGGGTTAGGGCGATGGAGAGTAGGCTGATCCAGGGCTACAGTGATGGAGAGAGTAGATTGATCCAGGGTTACAGTGATGGAGAGAGTAGGCTGATCCAGGGTTATGGCGATGGAGAAAGGAGGCTGATCCAGGGTTACGGTGATGGAGAAAGGAGGCTGATCCAGGGTTACAGTGATGGAGAAACGAGGCTGATCCAGGGTTACAGTGATGGAGAAAGGAGGCTGATCCAGGGTTACAGTGATGGAGAAATGAGGCTGATCCAGGGTTACAGTGATGGAGAGAGTAGGCTGATCCAGGGTTACAGTAATGGAGTGAGGGCTGATCCAGGGTTACAGTGATGGAGAGTAGGCTGATCCAGGGTTACAGTGATGGAGAGTAGGCTGATCCAGGGTTACAGTGATGGAGAGAGTAGGCTGATCCAGGGTTACAGCAATGGAGTGAGGGCTGATCCAGGGTTACAGTGATGGAGAAAGGAGGCTGATCCAGGGTTACAGTGATGGAGAGAGTAGGCTGATCCAGGGTTACAGTGATGGAGAGAGTAGGCTGATTCAGGGTTACAGTGATGGAGGGAGGGCTGATCCAGGGTTATGGCGATGGAGAAAGGAGGCTGATCCAGGGTTACAGTGATGGAGTAGGCTGATCCAGGGTTACAGTGATGGAGAGAGTAGGCTGATCCAGGGTTAAGGTGATGGAGAGAGTAGGCTGATCCAGGGTTACGGTGATGGAGAGTAGGCTGATCCAGGGTTATGGTGATGGAGAGTAGGCTGATTCAGGGTTACAGTGATGGAGAGTAGGCTGATCCAGGGTTACGGTGATGGAGAGTAGGCTGATCCAGGGTTACGGTGATGGAGAGAGTAGGCTGATCCAGGGTTACAGCAATTTTTGAGAGTAGGCTGATCCAAGTTTACAAGGAAGAGAGGAGGTTGATCCAGGGTTACAGCAATGGAGAGAGTAGGCTGATCCAGGGTTACAGCAATGAAGAGAGTAGGCTGATCCTACTCAGGGTTACAATGAGGACAAGAAGCTGATCATGCTCTCAGAAGTCTGGTGAGGACAGCTTTTGAAAAAGAGTTAATTACAATTCTGACAAATGCTGAAGGAACAGCTGTACGTTTCAGTGTTACAGCAAGGGGACGGACCTAGTTCTGAGTGCAGGGAAGGCTTATCGGGGAGTGACGGCTGACAAGAGATGTGAAGAAAGTGTAAAGGAAAAGATGAAGGCAGAAGCGAAAGGCAGCCATGGAGTCAGAGGACGGAGCGGGAGAGAAGTGGCCACGGCGGGTCAGCGTCACCATCAGAGGCCGTGGCATTCCCAGTGCCACACCCTCTGTGCTCAGGGTCAGCGGGAGGACATGCACCTGTCGCCCATCAGAAACCCACACCCTCCTCTTGGTTACTCCTCCACTTCCCCGACCTCCTCTGAGCACCTCTCAACCCACAACCTCTATTATCTATCCACAACTACAACAGCTCAAAGCCATCGGTTCTTAAAATCTGCTGTGTGACTAGTAAGCACTGCCTTGACTAGTACTAAAAATGTCCTAAACTCCTACTAAACATCAGGTTCTATCCATCCGTGAAACCATGTGTGTAAAAATGAATCACAACCACTTGGCATCATTTGTGAAAACACTGGTTTATTACATGTGAGTTCACAGAATGGATACTTGAGAACTTTAAAAATGAGTTAGGAATAACAACTGGATATAAAATCTCCAAATCCTAAAACCTGAAATAACCAATTCACAAGTTTTCTTAAATTTTTTTTTTCTCATGATTAGCACAGCTTGAAAACAGTGATGTTCTTCCAAGGAAAAAGGAGATTAAAACGGACACAGGATGAGGGTAGAGTTCCCACTGGGTTTATTCTCCACTGGAGCACTCGTGGCAAGCTCCATTCTCTTACTTACAGGAAACCACCATGGATCTCCTCTTCAGCACCCGCAGGCAGAGTGGAAAACGTCCTGCACACAGCCGCAGCCACGTCCTGCACGTGCCATTTCCACTCATGCTAGTCCGACAGTGTCCCCAACGCTGTGCTGTCAGCGAGCTACGAATAGTTCAAGTATTTCCCAGATTCATCATGGAAGCTGCTTTTCTTCTCTGCACTGAAATCACACTGAGCTGAAATTAAAATAAACAATCAGTAAGCAGTTACTTTTGCTGTGGCGAGTGTCAGGCTAGTACAGAGGACCGTGCAATGTGCTGCAATCGGTAGTTATCTGCAGTCTTACTGGAAGTCCTGGAAGAGGTCTGTGTTTGGTGTTCATTTCTGGTTTACTCCAGACTTCAGTATCTGCATTACTTTCGAGAAATGTCAAGAATGACATCCCATACTCAGAGGGGTTCACTCTAAATTCCCAAATTTATTTATTTCATAGGTGGATAAAAAAGGCATCTAGATCAAAGTTAATCAGAATATGCAGCATGAAAGGGCATCTTTCCCATCACCACCCGCACTGCTTTCCACAGTCCTCTTCAGATACTGCTATTGTCAGCAGCATGTTGTTCTTAAACATTTCGAGACAGGATCTTCAATGCATAACCCTCCTGCCTCAGCTTCCTGAGTGCTGGGATTATAGGTGTGTGTGTGTGTGTGTGTGTGTGTGTGTGTATGTGTAAGTTCTGGTACTCGGGCTTGAACTTAGGGCCTAGACTCTGTCCTTTAGCTTAAAGTTGGCACTCTACCACTTGAGCCACATCTCCACTTCTGGCCTTTTGGGGGTTAACTGGAGAAAAGGATCTCTTGGATTTGACTGTCCAGGTTGGCTTCAAATCATGATCCTCAGATCTCAGCCTCATCAGTAGAAGCTAGGCTTACAGGTGTGACTCTTTTTTTTCCCCTGAGTGCTGGGGCTTGAACTCAGAGTCTTGCACTTTTTTGGCTTTCTTGCTCATGGCTGGTGCTCTACCACTTCAGCCATTCTTTTAGCCTAGCTGTTTATTGGTTATTTTGGAGATGGAGTCTCGCTTTTTCTGCAAGACTGGCTTTAAACAGCAATTCTGTAGATGTCAGACTTCTGAGTAGCTAGGATTACAGGCTTGAGCCATGACACTCAGATATAACCAGGTTGTACATTTGTAGAGATATTTGAAAGGAGAACATATACACACGTATACATTTCTTTTTTTTAATGATGAAGTCTACATTCACTTTTCATCATGTCTTCTTCTAAATAACCAGCCTTAGGAATAACTACATGTTGAAATACTAGACTGCTCTATGACTGTGGGTTTACATCTTCACTATTAGAGATCGTGTTGCAGTGTGTGTTGTACATAACAGTTGCCTCACCAAGTCATCCGGTGCGAGCGTGGGCCAAAGGTCATGCTCACTGAACAATTCTGAGAGGCCTGACGGCCGTGCCTAGACACTGTCCAGGGGACACTCACATCCAAATAGAGTTGGGCCCACAGAATCATCACCGAACTTTATGATCTGATAGTAAAAATGGCACAGGCATCACCTGCCATGCTTCCCTGTAAAATCCCCTCGCCGTCTTGTCCACGGCACTGAAGCACTTTGTCTTTTCTCAACTTCAGCACTTTGACATAAGTTCAGGATACTGAACCTTTTTATTACTCTGTGGCTTGAGGTTCCCCTGGGGAGCAAACTCCAGACCATGGTGCATGCTCAGCAACCACTCTACCACTGTGTTTTCTCCTGACCTTTGTGACTAATGCAGCCCTGAGACTGTCAATGCTTATACTTATAAATCGTTCTGTAGACGCTGCTGCACAGAAAGGTTTCGCCTCCCATATTGTAACAGTTGCCTTCTTGTCAGAAGAGTGCAGTGTGACATTCAATACAGCTCAGAGCTGCACTCAGAGAGGTGAGAGGCTGTCAGAAACATGGTGTGTCCAGGGCAGGCCGGGCCAGCTCAGCAGGCCCAGGGCTCTAACCACAGCCTCCACATGCCTTTGGTGCATTAAGAGGAATGCCCTCAGAGGGATTCATTTTTAATAGCCAGTCTTGTCTTTAGAAGGGAATAGGAAAACGAGAGAGGATTTGGAGAAAGCAAAGAGAAAAGATGAAAATAATAAAGTCATGCGGAGTTTACCACAGGGTCCCATTTCCCAGAGGAAAATTAGCTCCAGGATACTGTCTGTGAGCTTTTATGCTCAAGGCTAACGCTTTACTATTTGAGTCACAGCTCCACTTCAGGATCTTTGGTAGTTGATTAGAGAAAAGAGTCTCATAGACTTTCCTGCCTGGGATGGCTTTGAACTGTGATCCTCAGATCTCAGCCTCCAACACAGATAGGATTACAGGCGGGAGCCACAGGTGCTCAGCAGGACATTTCTTTTTTGTAGGCAGAAAATGCTGAATGACCACTGTTCATTTTTAAATAACATCAGAATGAAAGAAGAAAAGCTCAAAGTTTGTTATAGACAAATCTGTAATTACTGAGGGGGAAAAAAAAGCTTCAAAACCCCCACAAAACAGTGTGGCAGAAGCTTGTCAGAGGGGAGTCAGTGAGAACCTCAAGAGGGAACTGTAGCAGCATCATTCGATTACGCAACTGGTTTAAAAGCTGTGCTCTTTTCACTATGGGAAGCTAGGTCGTTGGTTTTAAGGAGGTGTTTCCTTTGCAAGGGTCTGTGTGTGCCAGGGGGCGGGTCTGCCTGAGCCCAGGAGTGGGAGGCAGCAGAGGCAACGGTGACACGTCATGAAAAGAAATGAACCATCAAGGGCCATATAGGACTATAAAGGACTATACTGAGTATAAACAGGTAAGTCACGCGTGCGCACGCGCGCACACACACACACACACACACACACACAACCATTCAAGGGCCGTATAGGACTATAAAGGACTATACTAAGTATAAACAGGTAAGTCACGCGTGCGCGCGCACACACGCACACACACACACACACACAACCATTCAAGGGCCGTATAGGACTATAAAGGACTATACTGAGTATAAACAGGTAAGTCACGCGTGCGCGCGTGCACACGCACACACGCACACACACACAACCATTCAAGGGCCATATAGGACTATAAAGGACTATACTGAGTATAAACAGGTAAGTCTCTCTCTCTCTCTCTCACACACACACACACACACACACACACACACACACAGAGCCTCTGCTGTTCCCTACCTGCTGGGAAGCGGAAGCAGCTCTGTCTTCAGCCTGACTTAGTCGGCTCTGAAGTCTGTTGGCTTTTTCTTGATGTTCTAGAATTAACTTTTCATTCTGTTATGGAAAAGATAAAAAAAAAGTTAGGAATCCACATGAGGGTTAGTAGTATAGTTCAAGTGAACATGCTCAACAAGTTTATACAAGGCTTCAGGTTAAAACCCCAGGAATGTGGAGAAAAAAAGAAATGGAGATTTTTTTTTAATGGAATAATCAATGAAAACCCTGGATATAATTTTATTACCTATAAAACAAAAAAGAGCTGGGAGACAATGGCTCTATAATCCTAGCTACTCAGCAGATTGAGATCTGCAGATCATGGTTCAAAGCCAGCCAGGTAGGAAAGTCTATGAGATTCTCATCTCCAATTAACTATCAAAAAGACGGAAGTAGAGGTGTGGCTCAGGTGGTAGAGCACTAGCCCTGAGCAAAGAAAAAGAAAAGCTAAGGGTTGCACCTAGGGCCTGAACTCAATCAACCCCAGGATTGGTACAAGGAAAACAACAACAACAAAACAAGAGCTGGGTCCAGTGGCTTATGTCTGTAACCCTAGCTCAGATGAGGCACTGATAGAAAAATTGAGGCTTAAGGACATCACTGGGCAAATGTAAGACAAGTCTCTGAACAAAAAAGAAAAGTGGACTGGCAGTGTGGCTACAAAGGAGAGCGCCTGCCTACGTAGCACAAACCTTCGTTAAGAGCAACAAAACACAAGAGGGCTTTGCACTGTTCTTAAATGGCTTCCTATCCTGCAGCTCAAGAAAGCTACTGGGTCAACTCAAAAGCAAAGTGCGTCAGAAGGTAAGAACAGGATGCTTTGTTCTGACTTGTTAAGCTTGAAATCTGAGATGAGTGGCTTGACATGACCAGAGAGCTTGTGAAAATACGGAACCTGGGTATTCTGACCTGGTGCACTTCTCCCCAGGAGTCTGGGTCTTACCTCTACTATCTTTTCGTTTGCTATCTCCAGCTGGGAAAGCAGCTCTTGCGTGTGAAGTTTCTGTCGACTCAGCTCACTTCTGATGAGAGAGAGGTAGGAACCCATTCATATAATTGCCCAAAATCTAAAATGGAATCTTTACTAATTTTAAAACAAAAATACCATCTTGATGTCCAAAATAAAGTTACCTAACACACCCTATCTTCATTCACTTCTTTATGTAATATGTGCATACCCTAGTACTTTTATTTGTGTGTACAAATCATTGAACACACGTTAGTTGAGATGGTAGATTCCAGGCCGTGTATTTTGTTGTTATTAAAATCTTGAGTCCTGCCAATGATGAGCACCTGGAAATCTGCACACTCAGGAGAGGTCAGGCCATCACGATTTCCAGGATAGCACGGCTGTGTCGTGAGAGATCCAGTATCAAGAAAATTGTTTTTGTCATGATTTAAGAAATCACAATTTAGCCAGGTGCCGGTGGCTCATTCCTATAATCCAACCTACTCAGGAGGATGAGATCTGGGGATCAGAGTTTGAAGCCAGCCAAGGTAGGAGAGTTCATGAGACTCTTATTTCCAATTAACCACCAAATGCCAGATGTGGAGCTATGGTTCAAGTGTACAGCACCACACTTGAATGAAAAGGGAGACCACCCAGGCCCTGAGTTCAAACAACAGGACTGGCTCCACCCCTGCCTTGGCAAAATAACTTCTATGTTGTAAAATTTTATACTAGCTGGCGCTGGTGGCTCACGCCTGTAATCCCAGCTTCTCAGGAGGCTGAGATCTGAGCACTATAGTTTCAAGTTAGCCCTGGCAGGAAAGACGATGAGACTCTCATCTTCATTAAACTACCAAAGAAGCCTCAAATGGAGCTGTGACTCAAGTGGGAAAGCACTAGCCTTGAGCAAAACAAGCTCAGTGACAGTGCCTAGGCCCTGAGTTCAGGTCCCAGAACTGGCACACACACCCAAGAGCACGCACACATGGCGCGCGCGCACACACACACACACACACACACACACACACACACACACACACACACACACAGCAAACTTACAAGGCTCTGGGTCCAAATAGTAATGTTAATAAAAGGAAAACAAAAAATACATATTTAAAGGTGTGAAAGTCTTCACTTTCATTATGCTGCGATATTAGGTGTTAAAATAAAAGTATATTCCTATTAAGTATGCAGTATTATTATGATTTCTCATAAGCAACTGAACAGACCTTTGTCTTGCTATTCTTGTTCTATCTGCCTGACATTTTTGTACACTGAGTTCACTGCACTTGTCAAGCCTCATTTTAAACGCCACTACTTTTCTAGAACAGTCCAGCCCTCTAACGCTTCTTGCCTCATGCTGGCTACAATCAACCTCACTCTTCATTTTCCTCCTCTTACTTGAAACACCCTAAAATTACCTTGTTTACTCATTACTTTATCTTCTTAGTGTGTGTTTCTCTCCACTAGGATAGCTACTCCAAATAAGAGGCTACATCATACAGGATTAAAACACTGTCTTCATTTAGTAACAACATTTCCAATATCCTGCATCTGCTTTTCCAAAGGGTTTATAAGCTATCTTCTTTCATTTAAGAGAAGGCCATAACTGAGTGACTGCATTTGCAAACTAGACATCAAATAATACAATAAATCCATGATGCCACTGCTTAAAAATCAATGTGTTCTAAAGCGTTTTCTGTAATGAATATTCCTACTAAGATTATTTATAGAATTATGTGAAGAATATACTTAAAGCTACAAAGAAAGGGCCAAAATCTCCTTGTAACATTGAAGTGCTTACTTAGAATAAGACTGGCAGAACTGCAAAGCTATTGAAGTGGTGCCTGTTGCTTTCCTCCCATTGCGTCAAGGAGAGAAAAACGAGATGCAGATCAAGTCACTGCTGATGAACAGGAGAAATACTGGTGAGCCACCAGGCTTAGGGTAGACTGTCAATACTCTAAAAAAGCGGACAGTGTTGTGGGGTGCATCTGGAGGATTCGGGATTCTCCAGAGGAAGTGGCTTTACCGATGATACACGACGGGACAAGCGAGATTAGATGGACACAGGCAGGGAGGAAAAGCGCAGCTCTCCAGAGAAGGAAGGTCTGGAAGAAAGGGTCATCAATGCGTGAAGCACGAAGCTTCAGGAAGGTGGGAGCTGGACAGAGTGGAAGGCGCTGGCAGTGCAGGAATGCACATCAGAAAAGATTTCTGAACCTCGACACAGCAGGCTAAGATTTATCCTGAATATACTGGAGAAACAAAGGAAGCAACATGACTCAACCTGGAAATCTGAGAATCTTGCTTATTGCAGCAGGAAAATATAAGACTTCTGCTAAACTAAGGAGTTTTGTAGTAATTCAAGTGACAATGTTGATAGCCAGAACTGTAGTGATTAGACGGAAATAGACAGGTTCCCTGATATTTAGGAGGTGGAATTAATAGCAATTAATGATTTAGGCATATGAAGGTAGTTTAGGATGACACAATTTTGCTAAAGCAACTGGGTAGGTAATGTGCCCTGCATGGAAATGGGAAATATAAGATAAACTAGGAGTTTGGGTAAGAGGTGACCATACTGTTTGCTGTAGCAAACAATAAAGGTCAGCACTAGATGTGTGATGATAATCGCTGGCCCCTTTCTGTTGGTCTCCTGGAAGCTATGAAGTGCCTTCAATTCTGAGGAGCACTTGCATGCACAGTGACTGAAATGGAAGGGTTTTGAGGTCATGGCCAAGACTGTTTACAATGCATCAGTCCTTTTGAAAACACTAAAATTCATTGAATAAAACAACAGAAGCAAAGCTTCCTTAATACATGAGGTAAGAGGCTTTAGGCCAACGTGTGGGCCATAAAAATGACTATAATTACTCCATCATTGTTATTTTCTTTTTTAAATTTTTTGTTTTAAAAGTTTTTCATTGTAAAAATACAGTACAGAGGGGTTACAGTCACATGAGCAAGGGAATGAGCACATGTCCCATCGAGCATTGTTACCTCCTCCTTTGTTTTTCCCCTGCCATCCCTTCATTGTTATTTTCGAGACATAGATGAAATAGGACGAGCCACACCAATTCTGGTCGCTACAGCACCAGAAGGTTTCCTCAGTGCACAAGATCCCCACCACCCCACAGAGGAGGAAAGTACTGAAACAAAGTGAACTATCCACCCCAGGGTTCCCAGCCGTGGCCTCCTCCAAACTCTCTCATGACAAATTAACACAGCCTGCGCCAGGTGTTTTTCTTCTGTTGAATTATACCATAATATGCTTCAGTTACTTTTAGTAATTATGCATTTTGTAATCTGCCAGTACCTGCAGCTGCCTCTCATACTGTTAATTAAAAAAAAAGAAGGCAGTCATGGCAGGCAAACATTAGAGATGTACAGCCAAGAAATTATGTTTTATAAAGTGAAAAGAACTCCTTAGACTGAAATGCTGGATAGTCAACACACACACACAATCTGAAAACTGAAAATTTCAGAATAATATTAACTAACCCAGTCTACATATTGAGAGGGAGAAGGAAGGGCTGGAGGGAGGAAGCAAGAACAAATACTGCACACTGTACAATTCATATTGTATGGAACAGCTTGCTTGCTTGTTTTTCGGTAGTGCTGTGGTTATGTAAAATGGAAGGACATAAATGATAGTTTCTACTATAATTTGGTGAGTGCCATAAAAACCAGAATGAGCTCTTCACTGATTTTAAATGCCTTCACTGCCATGAAAAAATCACTCATTTGTCATCCTTTGTTTTTCTGTATTCCTTCCACCAAGACACATTTGTACATTTATCTTTGAGATAAGGTCAACGTAATTGTTAGGCAATAGCAAAGACGAAGGCTGTCATCCAGGTGTTTTTAAGATATTCTTAATGAGTACAACCTGATAGGGCAAAGGGCTGTAGTACCTGTAAAAGGGGTCTATTTAGGGAAAAACTTGGATGATTAGAACAGCAAAGAGTACATGTGAAGGAGGCGGCTGAAGTACAACCTGAGAGGTTCATTTTTAAAGCTGTTAATGAGTACTTTGGATGTGAATGACAGAATGCATGCCTCATGATATGTGCAGATAAACCATTATAAAGCCATCTGTTTCCGATGAATCAAAGGAGCCATCTGATTCTTTTAATATATTGCTTTGTTGCTTACTTCTAATATTATTAATAAAACATCTAATTAGTTGTACCACTGAATCACATTAGAAGCAAAGCTATTTTTCCTTTTGTTTTGTGCTGATACTGGCCTTGGGCTAACTTGGGACCGGAACCCATGCTATGGCTTCCTTGAGCCACAGCTCTGTTGCCAGTGTTTTGCTAGTTAATGGAGATAATACTCTCTAAGATTATCTACTGGAACTAGCTTTGAGCCTCAAACCTCAGATCTTAGAATCCTGAGCAGTAGTATGCAGGCATGAGCCATGGGTGTCTGGCCTCAAAACTACTTCTCAGGATAGCAGAGGAACCTTTTCCAAAGATACAGAAATACATATAGCAGCGAATCTCAAACACTACGGAATACCAAGTATACATTAGACTGTTACTATCCAATAAGAACATTATCGTTGTGTGCCCAGCACCACCTTTGTGATGCCCATTTTCACTGCAATAGGTGTACATTTGTGTACATCAGAACAATAAATGTTTAGGGCTGGCTCTGTGGCTCAAGTGATGATAGTGAGTGTCTAGTACCCGGCCCTGAATGTAAACCCTAGCATCTCAAAAAACCAGGAAGGAGGGCTGCTACGTGCAAGTGGCTTGTTTCATGGATTATTTTTCTCAGCAGGCAGGCCTTTCATGATGTTCAAGTACACATTCTTTTTACTGCTTTCAAAAGATTTCTGGAATGTCATTGTGACTCCAACAAGCAGGCCATAGACAAAGTGGAAACGGAATCTAAGGACACAGTGTGGTCTTGAACCAAGCAGGACACAGAGTCTGGTCTTGAATAGAGAGGTCACAGACTCTGGTCTTGAACCGAGCAGGACACAGAGTCTGGTCTTGCATGGAGCAGGACAGAGTCTGGTCTTGCAATGGAGCAGGACACAGAGTCTGGTCTTGCAATGGA